GCTCGGAATGTCTCGTTGAGCCGACGTTGCGATGTCAATGAAGGTACGAACCAACGCAATGGCCAGTGAGTTATGGATCTAAGATATCTCTGTCAAAAAGTATTAATCTAATTTACTTTGTCCCAATGGCAACGAGCGATAAAAACAGACACATTGTGGAACAGCAAAAATAAATCACAACCTTGCGCTCATGCTTTTCTGCACAAATTGGTGACTGCAGACGAGGCGTCCAGGTGTCAAGCTTCACACATTCACAGCAACACACCTCTCCGGCCAAGCTCAGTTCGTATGGTTGGAGCGCTAACCCATGCCGGGCAGGCAATCTGCCGAGGTGTGTGTCCTCGAGGTGCATTGATGGGCATTTGTGTCTTCTCGTGTTCATCAGATCGTGTCTATTCGCCAGATTGGAGGGAAGCTGAGTGGATTTTGGTGACTCGGAACACCTTTGTTCTCGAATCCAGGAGCTGTCTAGTCAGAAAACACCGTGAAGACAGGATGGTCAACTCCGAGACTCGGACTTGACACTCGATTTGGCGAAAGCAACAACACGGGGCCGGTCCGTTTTGCTCGGAGTCTCATTTTTACAAGTTCCTCTTCGAGTTCACACAATCGAAAGACTGTCTACTCTTTTCCATCTGCCGTTGGCAACACATTTCAACGTTGCCCCTGTTGACTGGACGACTCGAGGGCCAAAATGCTCATTCGAGCTGACTATAACTGGTGGGAATTCGGAAGACAACTATCGGGTTGTTTGGCCCTCGCTTGAGCAAAATAGGAGAGGTTAAACAGTAATCTGTTGTAATACCTGTTTTCACTCTGTTTCGTTCAAGTTGATGAAGGACTATTCGTTGAATTCTTTCCTCAATCATTTGAGCAGACCTCGGGTTTCTAACCAATTTCATATAGACTTGCTTCGCAAAAGTAATTCTCTTTTAGGCTGAAATGGACCTCGCCTGAACTGTCCGCATGAGTACTCCTAACGCAAATCAAACACTGGTTTTGGTCACGTCTCGACACGTTAGTCGCTGGGGCGAAAAAATGCCTTTCACCCCGATTGCGGATAACTTTTGGAAGGCGAAGCTATGTGAAATTCAATGGGAACATAAGGCCTAGTAGTCACAGGATTGTGGGAAAAATCGACTACCAGTCGGCCTTCATCAGTTTAAGACAAATAAGGTAGATACAGCTCTTATATCAGATCTGCTGACACTCTCGAAACCCTAATTATAAACAGAACGCTGCATGTATGTATGCATAAATGTGTGTATGTAAATAATTATTTATGTATAAATAAATAATGCTAGCAATGTAAATTTATAAGCATACATGAGGATATGTGCACATTTATGCATATCTTTATTCATGTGTGTGAATTTTCTGCATGAGTGTATATATGGTCATGTATGGACATGCGTATTTGCCTGCAAGAGGGAAAAAGTACACAGGCAATCTGGGATCAGGAAAACGGTAGCTCTAAGCCATATTGTCTCA